GTTCCTTATCTACCTTGTTCCCATCATCACAGGCACAATTAGTTTATTTCACAACAAACTGAGCTGATAGATGATGTTAGAAAATGTGGGATTGGATTAAATCAAATCCGGGGAGAACACAAACCACATTACAGAAATCAACAGTCTGTTTAAAGAAATAAACCATCAAAACCTCAAGGCATTATGTAAGCAGCAGTAAGGAATAAAAAGCTTTTCCTGCATTTTTTCCACCCTTCCCCTAAAGGCTTTACAACATCAAACCAGACTTGCAGAGCTGAAGGAGCTCAGGTAATAAATTGGAACTCTTTAGCTTAGACAACTGAAGGGTAGAAACTTCTAGTTGCTATAGATACTGCTACATAGAAATAGAAGATAAAGTAGGAAAAGCGAGAACATCGTATTAAAAAAATATGATACTGGATTATAATGATACTAGATTTCCAAGCAATGCATAAAACAAAGTAGCTTAGTTCTTATATGAAAGATGAAATTCCTTTCAGACTGTTTCTATATGCTTATCACTGTTCATTTTAATCATGATCCACAAGACAAACATTTTTGAAGAAAAACATGTTTTAGGACAAGATACAAAAACCAACCAACCCATTTAATATGTACTAAACTTGTACTTTGCCAATCTCAGCTTCAAGAAGTCTTTGAAGGACAACATATTCACCATATTAAGCGCACAATGAAATGGCATGGAGACAGCATGGGAATGGAGATATTATAGGTATTTTTCAGCTTGTCTCTAAATATTCCTACAATGCTCTCCTGGGAGACTTGTGCCCACGAGATATCTCTTAAATAAAATTTTGAAATAGGGCAACTCCACAAAACAGGAAGAATACTGATGGTATACCATCCTCAAAACACATGAAAGAAATACTCCAAGATAATACAGGCTAGTCAGTATAACACAAACTCTCAAGAAAACAGTACAAGCTGATACAAGTTTTCAGTCAGTGACCAAGGAATCCACTCAGAAAGATAGCATTTTCTGACAAAGTGCACCTGTTGAAAAGCATTTGAATAGCTTAGCTTAAGGTCAACAACCTGGAGCAGTAAAGTAGGAAAGAACAGAAATCTTTAAAATAATTACTACAAAATATTTAGGGTAAGTCTGCTGTGATGCCATTCCAGCAGATAACAGGGTGCTAAAGTCCCCCATAAGGACCAGGACCTGCGTATATGAGGCTTCCACCAGTTGTCTGAAGAAAGCCTCATCTATTTCCCCAATCAGGTGGTCTGTAGCAGACACCCACCAAAACATTGCCCACAGGAGTCTGTCTGCAAATCCCGACCATAAGCTCTAAGCCAGCTCCTCACCCATCCCAAGCCAGAGCTCCATGCACCCCTGCTGCTCTCTCCCAATTTGCCAACAAAGGCAACTCGACCTCCGTGCTCTCCCAACCTGTCCTTCCCAAAGTGCCTGTACTCATCCACTGCAGCTTGCAGAATTGGGCTAGAGTGCTATCTCACCACATCCCTGTGACCTAAATGAGACTGTAGCCCTGCAACTGCATGCAGACCTTCAATTCCTCCTGCTTGTTCCCTGTTGCGTGCGTGAGTGCACAAGGGCTTCAGACAGGCCCTCAAAAAGAGGCATGAGAGGTCTCCCCATCATATTGTCCTGCAGGCAATCCCTTATTTATGTGCATACACTTGAGGTGGTCCCCTTCCGTCTCAACTGTTGACCATGAGGTGTCTCTTGTCCACAGCACCCTAAACCCCTTCACTTGACAACCCGATCTGCTGCTTCCTCACTTGCTTCTTGGCCATCATCTCCCTCCTGTGTCATTCTTTATTTAGAGCTCTCCTGGACAAATATGCATCACCTTTTATTCTAAATGCTTTGAAATCTTACTGCTTACCAAAAGCAAGATTAATGCAAGCCTGGAGCACAATCTAAATAAATACCAAAAAAAGCCGCACTAAAATTCTATACCAGAACATAAAACTATATAAAAATATTTCTTTCACTGTTCAAATACATCAAACCTGGTATATGCTTTTATGTTCTGCCCTCTAGACTTAATTAGATACTCAGCTTCTTTGAAAAAAAAAAAATTAAAATGCTTTCAATAAAAGGCAATAGTAATAGAGATGCTTTGCTCCACACTCACCTACTCAAATCTGTTAATGCTGAACCTGATAAAAATCTCAAATTTTAAAGGTAAGATTAACCTGTGAAGAGGGCAAAGCAGAAAGTGCAGGTAGTTAGAAAGCTTCACTCAAAATAGATTAAAAAGAAAAAGAAAACAATTTTGCACTGGCACACACTGCTTCACAAGAAGTGAAAAGCTTGAATGCCCTTAGCTTAGTCTTTCCTTTTTAGAGAGAGGAAAGCTCAAGTGAATTATCATCTACAAACTTCAAAAGAAGGTATTTTCGTTGTTAGTTAAGACAGAGCTGAACAGCAGCAGGTTTTCCAGTGGAGTCTCACGGCGGACACACGAGATTTGCCACCAGGTGGCTCCTCCACTCGAGATCCGCGCGCCGCGCCCTCGCCCAGCAGCACCGGGCTCTTCCTCAAGCTGCTGAGGCGACCAGCACTTGGCAGCAAGGGACACTTCCACACCCCACACCCCCCGCCTTTTGCCGCTCCAAAGCGGCTCGGTCTAATTTGCTGATGGTAATTACTTTAAGAATGCTCGTGATAATCCTTGGCAGAATTTCTGGCATATCTGCTTTTGCTAAATTAATGCGTTTGTGAACATGAAAAGTGAGATGCACTTTCCTTGATTTTCTCCTCACAAACTACCTATCCACCTCGTCTGGGAACAAGAACAACTTGTAGCAATGTAAATACAAACCGTTTCATCCCACCCACACCACAAGATCACACTAAATGCTGGAGAAAAATGTGTTACACACTAAGTCCCACTTTGTTATTTTTAAAGGTATAATACACAACACTGGCAGGTTACATTCCACGACACCTACATCCTCCACCTCCCAGTCATCTCTTCTCTTTCCAGAAGTACCTACAAGTCCAACCTTCTCTCTTACTGATGAGAATATTATCTTTCCAGAGCATTTTGTGCCCTTTGATCAGTATTTGAAGGCATACAATGTACTACGTTTCTATAAATAAGCAATAGTTGACCTATGATTCATCGTTTAAGCAGCTACACAAAAATTTCCAGAAAGTAATCTTGCTCCCACCTGCAAAGGTCTCATAGCAAACCAAACAGATGTTTGTTTACTGCTGTTCCTCTGCTGGAAAAAAAAAAGATCTCATAACATTTTAGATAAACAGACCCACATTTGCATCTTTAGCTGATCCAGTTCTCCCTGTGAGAACAACACTGCAGAACTTCTTTCTCTAGACTACAAGTGGGATCTTCCATGCTGGCTTGGCACAGAGGGTTGACTCCTTTTCCTTCCTAAAGGGACTTGCCTTTTCTTTTTGTACATCAAAATGGATAAAGGAGATCACAATTTTTTTTGGGGGGGTGGATGGGGCAGTGATGAGGAATAGGAAGAGATTGACTTTTCACTGTTTAACAAGCAGATGACAACAGCTGAGTAAGACTGGAAAGATGAAATGGATGAATTCATCTCCTTCCAAGAGAAAAGTGAGAAAAGTAAGCAAGTTCAAGTCACTGATATTTCCCAGAATGCTTCTCATCTATCCCAGTTACAAAAAAAACCCTGAAACAAAAGTTCAGATGTGTTGTCTTCCAAATAAATGAGATTTTAAAAAGAACATTGAAGCCAGGTACGATTCTCTGCTACAGTGTAAAGCTCATTGTAACCCACCAGTAAAACAAGCATTCATCCCGTGCTGCCTCTGAGCAAAGGCACCCACCACCTTTGAACAGGCCTGTCCTGAAGCAGTTGCACTGTAGTACCAGATGGAGCATGGACTTACACCCTGCACGTTGCACTCGCAATGCAGCTCATCCCACCTGCTCTGGGTACCTCACCATCATGACAGACTGGGAGAAACTGAAGGTGGGACCAGGCTCTCAACCTGAAAACTCAATTTCCTTACCTAAATCAAGACATTTTTCTCCCTTCCAAGGAAGCAAGAAAATATCAGCAAAAAGGGGAGCATGGATGAGAAAATAGCTAAATACCAAAGAGAAATTTAAATTAAGTGGGACTGAAATGTAGCACCAATTTATAAAATCTAAGTTAATTGGTGAATTAAGAAAGCAAGCAGACACAGGCAGTGTGAGAGGAAGCAAGCTATGAAAATGGAGGGGCACTGACAGGCATAACCTAGAAGTAAGTGATTTTACCATCCCTCCTGAATCAGGTGCAAGATAGTTTTATTCACACATTTTATCAGACACCACTGAAACAAGTTTCACAGATCTCTTAAAAAGTACATGAGAGTACCATAACTGATGAAATAAGTTAGATTAGTACGATTAAATACTGAAGAAAGTATCATGAAGCTAACAGGAATAACCTTTTTATCTTCTGGTTTTAGAAGAGTTGTATACCACTTCTATGGATAATTTTTTACCATCACTATCAACACTAGATTTATACACTTATGTGTTGCTTTTATTAAAGTTGCAATAAAAATCAAATTTTATACTGGCTGCTCTTAGACACACTGTACAGCATTTTTTTATATGCCTATATATAAATAATCCATGAGACCCAAACCCTTTGTAGTAGTACTTTGCACAGAAAACTGTGGGTCTTACACCAGATCAAATTAAAAGAGCGTGTTACCTTTCTAGCACCAAATTTCACAGCTGGTTTCTTGTCTTCTTGTCATTTACACGACAAGGTTATATAACACAGCATTGAAGCAATATTTTACATAGTGGCCACGCAAACACCTACACTAAATAAACGAAGCTAAAAGACAGATACCTACTTTCTTTTGCTCCAGTGCCATGAAATTCAATGAGCTTGATGGTCACATTTAAGCGATTTTACATTTCAAACTCTTACATAGCTACTGAAGTGTCTTACACAGCTAAAGAGAAATGTTCAACATATTGGATCTGTGAAAGAATAAAAACAAGACATACCTTGTCTATTCCCATTCTCTTCATCCTAAAGAAAAAGAAAGAAAAACTCAATAAATGAAAAAATAACACAAGGCCATCTATAAGCTATGAGACTTGAACTTGTAAGATTAAGTCTGCATTCTGATATCTCGTACTTTTTCACAAATGTTCAAATTACTGAATCAAGGCTTTCATTCAGAGATTTTAGTGTAATCCTTGTTTTAAAAAAAACTAAACCAAAGCACAGTTCCGTAAAACATCCCCACAGAAACAACATTAACAGCATTATCTGAAAACAAACATAACAAAACCCTGAAATGCTGCCATGAAGTCTAATACTACACTGTGTTGTTGCAAGCATTGTTTCCACCCTGAAAGCCAGGCAGGAGAGGTTACACTTTTAATAATCTAAGGATTCAAAGCTAAATAATATGCAAGAGATACAAAATATTTTGTAAGTAAGCTCTGAATGTTCTTCCTGAAATTTGAAATACCAAGTTTGTTTTGCCTTCAGTACTACTGCCTAAAGTAAGATATCTACTCCAAACACTATTAAGTAACAACCTTGAAGATTCTCCTTCTGCTCATTGAACTATATAGACACAATCATAACTACTAGGTAGCACTGACAGTCCTTGAAGAAAAAAGAAAAAAGAAATCCCACAACTGGAATGTACTGAGGGAGAATGGCATGATTAAAATAGAAAATAATTACTTAAGTTACTACTTTGTCAATATTTTAATATGAATGAAAGGCTTTTGAAAGATCAGGGATAATCTCTCCTACAAACTTCTACCATTTGAAACGCACAATTGATTAAATACAGAAATACGTGCTAGCTTGCTGAACTGTGACTTTATGAAGTAATAAACTTTCAAGCTAAATACAGTTTTTTAGACTAGTACGTACTATTTGGGAAGAATTTCTAACAATTCACCTCAGTTGATTAAAACAGCTTCACCCTGAAGGAAAGGACCAAAGAGATGATCATAGAAATGATTTTCACCTGTATATTCATTCTTACTTTTAAACGTATTAATTCCAAATTTCTAGGTCTTTTGCATTTGAAGACAAATCACTATCTTTTTCATATTAAATATTTTCAAAGCTATTGCACACTCATCTGAGCAAACTATTCAAGAGAGGAAGACTTGAAGAAAGAGAGGGAAGAAGACCTGCATATGAACACTACATAACAATGAGGAGACAAGGGTCTCCTAGGTACAATACATTTCTTGTGAGACATACAAAAGTCCTGCTGGAGCTTTCTAAGATACTACAGAAAGATAACTTTAAGGAAGAAAAAACCAACAGAAGAAAACTCAGAAAACCAAAACACTGAGTTAACAAGATCTGGTACTGATTCTACTTTTAAAAACATACATTAATTATCTTTACCACCTGAACTCTGAGAGCAGCAAACAGTATATCCTTGAGCTGGACAGTCCTGTCTGCTCTATACTTTGGTAAAAAATATCACACTAGTAGAAAAGTACTGTTAAAATTTATCACTGTATGTCTTGAAGCCCTGTAACAGCCAGTTGGTTTTGAACTATGACACCCAACAGAACAGCAGCAAAGAATTAGACAAGGCTAATATATGCACGTGTCTAGTTTCCATCCAATCTGCCAAGTGAAAAAACATCTTTAGGACTTTGAATATTAGAGCTCGTACTCTGGAAAATGTGGGTCACATGTAGGCTACCTGGTTTGATGCTATTAAAAAAATAAATAAATTATGGAAAAGTTAGCTAATATAGGATTGCCGTATTTTATGAAATACTGCAGTGGCTTTATCAGTTTGTCACTGGGTATGCAAAGCTCTGATATAAAAGACAGCTGCAAAACATTAGTTTTTCATAGTATCAAGCCAATGAGCTCAGGCCTTTAAAAATGGAATGCTTTATAATGCAAATGTTTTGGAATTAGCTTTGCCTCTTACATTTACCTCTTACGCATTGCAAGACATTAGTGTATGCTGCTTCCGTATCTAAAAAGGTTTTCCTTTATCATTTACTTGCTTCTCAGACTGACTGAACTTGAAGAGTGACCTTTACATACAAATCCTAATAAACATGTAATTTAATGTCAGCTTTTTGTAATGGTAGCTTAAGAAACCTTCCCCACACTCCCTATCCTATTCACTTTCTTAAGGGAATGGAGGCATGGGAAGCAAGGAGGATACATAATGGGTTATTCCTGAATGTGCAGCTATTCCCAGTTTGGTGTGTGGCCTCGCACAAGCACAGCCAAGTACTTTTGCCAAAATGCAATGTGTTAACCGCAGTCTCAGTTTCCAAGATCATCTTTCACACCGTCTTTCACACAGGGCTGCCCCTCCCAACAGAACTACCAAACAGTACTTTCTTCCACAACCTTTCTCTATCATAACATTTATAAATTAGTTTATTAATAACAATTACAATGAGAAAGAGTCCCTTGATTTGTAGTTAATTAGCTGGTTTGTGCAGGAACCATGAAAAGATACTAGAACTTAGCACAATATCCTGACCTAGACCTGCAGTACTATGTACACACTGAATGTTAAATGAAAGAAATGAAATCCTATTAAAAATATATATTATAAAAGTAATGTAAATTAAATATACCAGTATTCAGTATTAAAATATGCAGACACTTCCCTGAATTGATTATAGCCAATCATGTTTGATCATTTCAACGAAAGCAAGTAAGGCCTATTTTCCAGTCTGATGTAAATGGAGAAAACAAAGCTTTATGGATGCCCCTCATACAGTCACCTTGTCACTAATGTATCAAGTTTTATTCTTGAAATTCACCCTGCTTGTCCAGGTGTTACACATCTAACTCAGGAGGTCCACAATGCCAGTCTCGCTATCTCACCAGGAATTGCAGTTTCACCTTGATAACTGTGGAAGTCTACAAAAGGCAGATGTCAGCTTTGTACACAGAAAGCTAGAAATACCTGCAAGTAGAGCTTACCAACACTTACAACTCTTGGTTAACATGACTCCATCTATTTTATTCAGGTTTTGAACAGATCTTTCTTTTTAGAAAAAATCAGTAGCATCATTAAAAATAAAATGAAAGTTCAGCACTGCTGGGTTTTTCTGATCAGCACTGAAACAAAAGAAACGATTGTTGAAGTTCTGCAACATTTAAGAGACATCCATGAGATGGACTAGATAGCTAAAATTTCATTCACTTGACAGTAAGCTGGACTTTGCTTCTGCATAAAAGTGACCCTCATTCTGTTAACCTGGTGCTCTGTGCTCCTGAATAACAAGAGGAAAAGCCCCACACCTCTCTCCTAACTGAACAGAAAGAATAAGGTGTGCCTCCAGTCTGAAATATTAAAGGAAGGTGCCACAAAAAAAAAATAAATCAGCAGAAGAACTGAAGATAACTCAAGGCAGGTACTATTAGGTGTTAATCTACTAAAAAACAAGTGTGTTTTGGGACTTCCAGTCAGCAGATCTGCCTAGACCTCTTCCTTGCAGTGAGCTCCCCAGGGCAACTGAAAAAAAGGCTTTCAACTGAACACAGGTTTTATTAGACTAACAAGTATAACACTGAACTTCTTAAAATTTAAATAAAAACCCAACATCTCAAATGCACCTAGGCAGAGAACAGATTATTAAAGATTTTTATAAAATAACACCCACTCTTCTCCACTCACACCCACTCTCCTTTGGAGTAGAGTTCTTTGCTTCTGAGAAAATTCACCTCAGTTGCAGCCTTCTCCACCCTGTAGGAAAGTTTTTCTCCCATTCCCGTGGAATATCTTTACCCACTCCCTGCAGTCTAGGAGCATTATGGTCTCTGTCCCAGACATTTCCACTGTTCCCCACATGCGAGGAGTCTTGTCCTTTTCTCCCCAGAGGATTCCACCTGACCTGGCAACAACTTTTCAAACACACGCAAACTGCAAGCAACAGGAGCAGAACTTTTAATGGAGAACTATTCACTAGGTATTTCTGAACTGGAACAAAGAGTAGGTATTAAAAAAAAACCCAGAAACTTATATATCCACAAAGAATGTGGAAAGACTGTTTGAAGGAAATCTCTTATAGATGCTTTTCTTTGTCTTTACTATCTCTACCAGTTTATGTTGACTTGCAGTAAGACTTAAGAGAAATTAGGGTAAGCCTACCTTGAAAGAAATTGAAGGAACTAGAACACAAAGCCTTCCCTGGGGTAAAGAGAGACCTCTGCACTGATCTAGAGGGAAAGTGCCAGCATCAGGCTGACACTTGAGATAACAAAAGGACTATGGCTCCGAGAAACCAGTAGGGGATTGAGTAACTCTGGCTGTTATGTTAACTTCCAGCTGCAGCCTCTATCATACAGATAGTCAGAGGTAACTGCATGCTTTCTCAGGTATGAAGGAAGGACAAGGCGAAAAATTCTGTACAGCAAAATATTTCCATATTCCGCAATAACTGCTAGTCTTACCCATGGTAAAATTCTGTACAGCGAAATATTTCCATATTCCACAATAACCGGTAGTCTTACCCATGGTAACAAATATTTTTAACTTGGATAAGCTCATACTCAGTCAATTCCATTTTCTTGGAACAGATCAGTGCATGGTTATCAAATGATGCAGTAAGTGAGCCTGCCCACCTTACACACAAGGGATCTTTCATCTGTGCAAGACACATCTATAGATACTTTCAAGCAAGCTGGATTTTTGACCCTAAAGAGTATAATAAAACTATACATAATTGTTTCATTATTAATTTCACTTACTTTAAAAGAAAACTGAACTGCAGATTCTGGAGGGTAAACTATGAAGTGTCTTAAGGTGAAGCCAAAACCCTGAGATGTCCTCCTTAGCACAACAGTTTTGGGACCAGGCCAAGAGAAAGTTTCTTCTTCCTCCAATGGTGATATAGCTTCACTCTGCTCTTTTCCATCTTTATTTTTTGATGCCTAAAATAAAAAAAGACACACAAAGAAGTCATAATTTGGATAATTTAAAAAACCGCAAACAAACATTCCGGTGCACTTGAAAATATAATTTCTCCCCCATAACCAAAATAACTTGATGATCACTAATATTTTCAAAAGAAACGTGTATTATAAAGCAGCAGCTCTTTACAGCATTACACCTCTGGTCATATCACATACAGAATTACTCTTAAATTTTAAATTAAGTTAGATATTAAGCAAGTCAACGTACAACAGTGAAAGGCTCAAATGAACCTCAAGCAATGCGTACAGCTTGCATGTTCTATTTAGTTTCTACCTTAGATACAAACATGGCTTCTGGGACCCCGTTTCTGGGTGCACATAGCTCATACATGCATGTACAAAACCAACTCCTCTTTTCCTCACTTATAATGCAGGCACTGTTTTCTCAACTAGTGTCTCCTCACTTAAAACAAGTAAAACAGAATCAAAGAACATATGGGATTGGTTAGGCTTTTCAGCAAGACACACTTTTCCTCTAGTCATATCTTTGACTTCACCTTTATTTTTTCCCCACCCTTAGCTACTTTCTCTGAACATTTCAGTATGCAGATTCTAAACATACAAGTAAAAAAGCCTTGTTTACTTTTACAGTCCTACTGCAATCCCTCCCCTCATGCAGAAAGAGGACATCTTGTGGTTTTTTTCTTAACGTAATTTTAATATACCTATGACTCGAGAAACTTCATTATAAAAGTATTTATATTCTCAGCCTTACATGAAATCTTCCATTTCAGTTTTCAGAGTGAGTGCCACACCATACATAACATTTCAAATCAAAGGCAAGAGACATACAAAGAAAGCATGCAAAACCCTATGACCCTCCTCTAAATATTCTAGTTCAACGATGCGTGAAACAAATTTAGATACCAGAGCCTATAGCCTATTCAAAGGGTATTCAAACAGAAATAATAGTCGTCTTGTCCTCCTGTAGCTCTGCTGCTGTGGCTCAGCAACTGGCTGATACGTGTCAGAATTTACTGCTTGGTTTTGTCCCTGGGCTACTCCAAAATAACCCGTTTTGCTTCAGTCTTATAGCTGGGATCTCAAACTGCAGTGCTTATCAGCAAGGTGGGCCCAGCCAACTCCAACACCTACAGAGACAACAACGCATTTCCACTCTAACCACGACAGCAACATGTATTACTGTAAGAAAAATGTTGCAGCTGCTTGGTGCGATATTTAAGCCACCAGAACAACATTCTGCATTCAGGTATGTAAAACATGATGCATTTCTACACAGATGCTATGGTTTGTCCTTGAAAACCCACGTCTTGGTACATCCAACAGGGAAGACAAGGAAATACCAAAGATCAGCCTCCCTACCTCCTACAACCCCGTTCTTCAGCAAGGAAAAACACATACAAATGGAAAAGGGTCTTGGTGCTACAGCCAAGACAAGAAATGGAACCATTTCTGAAACCAGAAAACACAGAGAATTCAGAGCAGCCCGACAGGACTCTGATCCTCTGAATAGCCTGGAAGGATTATGAGCAGATTTTGGAAAGAACAATAATAAATATCAAGGACTTGACCTCAGCATAGTCTGCCCTCAGCTATCATCTTCATTTATGTTTTAAAGTGTTAGTGTGAAACTGAAAAGACCGTGTAATTTGATGACAGAGGAATGACAAATTAGTAAGAACTGTGGAACTGTCAAGATGAGTGGCTTTAGTTCAAGCAATGCAAAGATTAAGGTAAAAGTTACATAATCCTTTAGCCTAAGGATGGGGTTTGTTATTGAGGTGTTCCCCACCAATCTGTTCAGCTTCTGAACATGACAGCATTTTTTCAGTTCTGCAAAATAAATGTCCCTTCTCAGTCTTTCAATCTCAGGACATGAGCAGAAAGTGGAGCCAGTAAGAACATTTTGATCCTAGAAAATTGGCAAAAGAAATAGCTCTTAATAAAAAAATATCACTGGCCTCTAAAAAATGACAGTGATTTCCTCCATTAAGTGATGGGCAGCAACCCATCTATTTAACATTCCCTTGCAATCTTTTTTTTCTCCTCTCAAATTTTTTATAGACAATGCTTGATGTGGAAGTTTTGAACAATCATGAACAACCACAGGACAAAAATGTAATAAACAAATACCTATGGTATAGACACGTAAATAGCAACCTTAAACATAGCACTGAAAAACAGAAATCTACAATGTACTTGCAGTTTTTTTTCTTCTAGAAAAAAAAAACCAACAAAAAACCCCAACACCCAATCCTCCCTAATAAGCCAAAAGGTAATTTTAGTATGTGTAACAACTGATCCCTGAAGTTTACATATAGAAATACTGCAACCTGAGTTCAAAATACAGTCATGCAGAGAACTTCACCAGATCTGAAAAATGTGAGATGCAGCATTTGATTGTGGTGAGAAGAGAACTTCTAATTTCCTTGTAATTTCATGTAAACTTTTAACATTCATACAAGTTGCTGAACTATCAACTATTCATAAGCAACTGTACTCCCCAGTCAAATCATTATTTCTTGAAAGAGCATGCCAGAAGTGAAAGGTTATCTTCATACCATCTGTGGACCCCCTGCAAGGTCTGCCAACAGGGCAACAGAAAAATCCAATATTAATAATAAATGTGAGACATGTTCAGCAGCAGCAACTTTCAGCCACCACTATGAACAAGAAAGAACCTGAATTGTAAAGCAGAGTCAACATCTGTTGAGTCACCCTGTGACACGTCCGATCGCAGCATATCCACCAGAATATCCCTTGCCAGAGGCGGCTTTAAAAAGGAACAAAAAAAGTTTTTGAAAAGACAACAAAATAAGGATGCAAGACAGCAAGCAAGAAACAGGTGATGTTTAGCATAGGCAAGAATATGAAGGCAGAGTTTCTACATGGTTTTCCTTCTAAACCAAAAGTGAGAGTAGTCAAGTTTCAAATACATAAGTATCTCATATCCTTGAGATGATTTGTCTTTAGGGTAGACTCAGTTGCATTTCAAGAGAATGAAAAATGAATGCTTTATTTTATTTTAATTTCATACAAAATCTAACAAACCAAAGATTATTTTGCCATATTCCTTACTGAAGGTCTGTATATTTCGTTCTCTATAGATTGCTCAAAATCAGAGTGCATACAATCAAGTTCAAGGACTGAAGAATCCCAGGCTACTAAAAATGATTCAAGCATCATTTCCCTCAGGATTTCTTCATACAAGGTTTCTGCACAGAGTATCTCACAGCATCATTTCCTGTTACATGCAATTACAAGGACATGCAACAGATGCTTAAATGCATTGTAAAATGCATACTTTGTTTTTAATAGTGTATTTAACCCTTTTTTCTGAGCAATGAAAAATCAGATGGCACCTTAAAGAACTACATGAATCACTAGAAGCTTAACACAGTAATATAATTATGTAAAATCAGTAAATAGCATTTATGTTTGTAAATTATACTATTTCAAATTAAAAGTCTCAAATCAATAATTTCCCATTATCTCAGTCTAAAAAAGAAGACACACCCAACTTGCACGCTCTCCAAGGCCTGCTTGATTTTTAATCTTATAAACAATTTACAGATAGACCTGTATTGAGCATGCTAAAAATCCTTCAGTGACAGTCATAGCTAATACAAACTATCAATAAAGAATTTTCTTGATTATCTAAACAGATAAATAGGTATACGCTGAGTTCTGAATATTATCTTAATATATAATAATTT